TTTTAAAATTTTCATGAAAAATATTTAATTAGAAATAATGAAAGGAAAAATTAAAAGAGTGAAAATTTTTTTAAAAATCATTTTTTTCATTTTTTGGTTTCTCCTTTTATTTTTTCAAATATTTTCTTGAAAACAATTTTTCTAAAAAAAAATGGAAAACTTGATAAAAGGGAAATTTAAAAAATTCACTATTTCTTTAGTTTTAATTTTTTAAAAAATAAAACTAAAAACAAGTCCTCAGAGCCTAACGTCTAAACCAATATTGAGCAATTAGCACCAAAGTAAGCTTTGCTTAAATATACTAGAAATTTTCATTCAGTTTCTATCGAATCACAATTTTATTCGGTATGAACAATTAATAGATATTTATCAAATAATATTTAATGAAAAAAAATGAACAAATTAATTCAATTGGACTTTCATTAATGTATACATTAAAAATTAAAACTTAATTTCCAAAGATACAAAACCAATAACTTTTTTTCACAATGTATTGAAACATAAAAAATTAAACTAAAATATAATAATCTGGATATGATTAATGGTTATTTATGCTATTTAATAGATGTGTTAAATTTAAATTACATTCATCACTAATTATATTTATTTACAATTAATTGGATTCATCGATACCACAAATTCATGAATGTCTAAGTTTATAAATAGTTAAATTCATACAATTTGGGTTTGATTCATGATTATTTATACTATTTAACAGTCAATTTGAATTTATATTCAAAATATTACATTTAAATAACATTAAACTTGAAGAATATTCTATCACTATTAATTGGGTTCATAAATATCATGAATTCATGAATAGTTAAGTTCATAAATAATCAGATTCATATATAATTAAATTTATATAATTTAAAATAAAAAATAAAAACATTAATAAAATAATATCCATGATCTCAATTAATTATAATCTTTACAATTTATGTTTTGTAACCCATTCAATTCAACTCAATCAAAAATTTTCAATTAAAACAGTTATTATTCAATTAAGTACCTCAAGCGGAGATTAATTTTTATTGAAACCAAAATAATAGTAGGGCAGTGATGATTACAATGTTATATTAGGTGGCATGTCCGGCTTAGTCCTATTTTTTAGTTAAAAGTAGAAATAATATTATTTCATCAAAGATTATATATAACTTTTTATAAACCTTTAATATAAATATATAAAAATCTAATTTTTTAAAAAAAATTATAAAAAATATCATTTAATTTATTAATAATGTATAAAATTTATAAATTAAATATTCAATTTAAAGTTAAATATTTAATCTATTAGAACCATATCTGTAATTTATTATAAATTAGTATTTTATTTTTCGATATTAAGATTTTTTTCTTATGGAAACTCAAGCTCAACAGATGTTAATGGGACATGGCACCATGATGCTAAAGAGTAATCATACATAGAAAATGCTGATTTTTAGAAATAAAAAAGATAAAAATGAATAAATTTATTTTAAGAGAAAATACAACAAAAATACCACCTGATTAATTCTTCACTGTTTCAAAAGTGTGAATGAATATTTAACTGTCACATGATGCATGTAACATCTGTTGCAATGATGCTGTTCATTCAGTCTTTACATTTTTTTGCCGAATTTATCTTTGCTCTTTAGTGTGCAAACTTTTCAAAAGGTTTGAAATTTCTTTATATTGCCTAAGGCATCTAATGCTGAATTTTGGAATAGACATGGTTGAACCTTAATTCTGATTTTGATTACTAATATTCAAGGGATTAACTTTATTTTACTCACGGCGCGAATTGCGGACTTGAAGCTTAATTAATAATAAATTATATTGCAATAATTCGTTAAAATCCCATTGAAAACAATGTTTTTTTGGAATTAGGCCATTTGTCAAATTTATAAAATCACATCAAAATTCTTTATTCAGTACCACCTATAAATAAAATTTAGATATGATAACTTGAAATAATACATGATAATATGTTATGAAAATTATACAAATAAAAAATACGAAAATAACATAATTTAAAATTATATTTTATTTTTTCTTGTAGATGCAAATTATAATATATAATTTTTTTAACACACGATATAAATACAAAATTTTATACAACATAGTGACACGAATTATCAGATTTAATAAAATTCTATTCACATTAAGTGAAAAGCTCGTAAAGCAAAAAAGAAATGATAAAATCTTAAAAAATCATTGAATTATTTCTTTTTTTAAATAAATTTTTATATTTTTATTGTATCCAAATAAGTTTTTATACTTTGATTTATATCTAAATAAATTTTTATTTCAAAAGAAATAATGAACTATGTTAAAAAATTATTTAGATATAAATTAAAAGTTTAAAAATTTATTTAGATATAATTAAAAATTAAAGATTTATTCAAATATAAATTAAAAATTAAAGGTTTATTTGAATGTAATAAAAATATAAATATTTATCTAAGTAAAGTTGACAATTTTAAGCATTTTTTTATTATTTTAACAAAAATGAAAAACTAAAACGTAGCATTAGTAGTCATGCTTCTATTGTTTACTAATTAATTTTTTGAAAAGAGCATTAGAATTCATACTGTTTTTTCTTGCCACGTGTTGCATGGAAGCCAAAATGGGGGCTGACTTTTTTTCAGGTAAAAAGCAAAGTTAGGGAAAGTTGCTCCCATCTCTCAAAGCTCAACCGTAGCCCTCAAGGTCTGCGATATCTTTCTTGAAGATCCATCCTTGGATGGAGCTCCTATCATCAACTCTATTGATGGTGCAAAGGTATGCCAAGATAAATTGACGGTAGATGCAAGCTATTATTTAATCTGTTCTTCCTTTTATTTTTAATCTTTTTCCTTGCACTCTTTTGCAACAAGTTTAATAGATTTGTTGTTTGTTAAAAATTAGATGTTTTAAGCATTGACTATGAATACCAGGGTTGTTCCATATATTTCTTAGTATTATTATTGCTCACTCTTTGATGAATGATATATCCAACACCAAACTTTGCATTGGGAAATGGATGCAATTCTCAGTTTTTGTATTAGATTTCTTCATTAAGCTACTTTTATGACTCTTACATAAATACAATGATATACGCACCAAGAACATCCAGAGCAAGTATAGTCAAGGAAGCATCATGATCAGTAGCTAAAATTGCAGCACAGCAGGCTTTGATTGCTCACTAGCAAGGGATTGTGAAGAGCCTTGAAAACTTCTTAAACATGTTGAAAGCAAATTATGTTAGTTAAATATATTGCTTTTCTCATTTTCCTTCATGTTTATAATTTTATGTGTTTTTTGCATAACGCTTACTCTCACATTTCAAATTGAACTTAGTTCTTCTAATCAGTTTTCAGGTTAGGTGCAATAAGTTATAATAGAGGAGAAAGAGTCAAAGTGCTACCATTCACTGCAAATGTTTTGGACGCCTTTTGTCTGAGAATTAATGTTGTTTGATTCCTTTATAATTACCTCCATTCTTAGTCTATAAGGTGTTTACACAAATATTCTCATTCATCAATGTTCAACTATTCAATAGGTAAGAGTTCATACTGCTATTTAGTGCTTTATACTTTGGTTTTCTACTAAATGCAGAACAATTTTCATTTGGCCTTTAAATGCACTATTCTATTGCAACCTTTTGTTGAGGAGAGAGTAATGTTCATTTAGTAATGGTGAATATGTAAAAGCTGGATTGGCTGAGTTGGAAGAATGGTGTTACAAGGCAACCGATGAGGTACCTTTGACTGCCTCCCAATTTACTTTTTGGTTCTAAGATATGTACTTACAAAATTTAAAAGGTATATAAATGCAGTAAGTAGGTTATGAAAAATAGATGATTAACTAAATTTATATTGTTTTGGTAGAAATTTATAATGATTTAATAGACTATTGGATCAAGATTAGAATGTTTATTGAAATCATGGTCAAAGCATAAAATAGTGGGAGCCTTTGGGAGTTCAATGTACGTATTGTTTCAAGATGGAAACTTTCTTTCTCTGTTTGTTTGCCACTACCTCTAATTATTTACACTTTTTCTTTTTGGAATTATTTATGCATATTGCCTCTTAGAAAGAAAGTAATGTCAAATTTGACTCTATGTATGTCATCGTGAGTATTTTGTGATATTGACTAATATGATATCCAGAATTCAAATTTTACTCTAAATATGAAATTTCACTATAATTAATACTCATTTTTTATTTTTCTTTTGTTGGTTTGATAGGCAGAATTGATTTTGTTTCTAATAAATATTGTCTAAATTGTAATATGAAGTCCATTTTAAACTTTCAAGCTCTGAGTTTGTAAGCCTTTGCCACCCATTGCTATCAACTAAGCATGGCATTAAATGCCTTTTTCAAATGGAGTAGTAGCAAATGATCTTTTAATTGATTATATTTAAGCATTTTTCTAACTGAATTTGATTCTTTTATGTTTTGAAAACTGGATTATAAAGTTTTAAATATGAAACTAAATAATAACTTTTTGCCTCTCTTTGCAGAGTAAAAGAGGAAAATGGAACAAAAAGAAATTCCGAGAAATATGCAAATGCTGCTAGATTTCTTAGGCTGCTTATGGAAGCAAAGGTTGTTAAATCAAATGAGGTTCGTATGCATGTGCTTTTTTAATTGATGAACTGAGCTTTTGCAAATATGTCAACTTTTTTTTATGCATATTATATATATTCTACTACGTATAGTGCTATAGACAAAAATCGTAAAAGATCATACACGTTAACCCGAAAATATAAATCTACTTTGATCCTCATTATATTCTATATATGTATTACATATGCTTTTTTTTAAGTATCACTGTTCTTATATCTGCAGCGTGTAGCGCTGGTTCGCATGCTGGTAGATATAAAAGAAAAGTAGATATAAAAGAAAAAAACTATCACATGTGGATAGCAGTTAGAATTGGATCCCTAATGGGTTTAGCCCAATTATTCAAAAAAAATTAATGTGAAAAATTATATATTGCTTTTTAAATTCATAAGAGCTCACTCTTATTTTATCTAATCACACCATATTTGTGAAGGTAATTGTTTATGAGTTAACAATCTTAAATACCAAAAAGTGACAAGAAAAATTAAACACAAGTACTTATTTTGTTATTATGGCATGGATCAAAATACGAGAAGCATTACACTTGATAAATAACTAATCACAAACATTAATCATAAGAAATGGCATAAACTTTTAGTTTATAGTACTGCTACTTGATAGACTTAGCTGCACTTCCTGCTAGCCTGCCTCCAATAGATAATGCAAAGAAACATTGCACTTACTGCGGATGAACATAGGATAAAGCTGAAAATACAGTTTGTACCATGGTAAGTAGGAGCAGGACAACAGCAGCGACGACTGAAATGAACGACCAGGGAGAGTTAAAATAATCTTGCTTCAATTTTGCCTTCCATATGTTTCTCCTTTTCTTGCAGTGCTTGTCAACCTTCTCAAATATATCGGCATAATAGAAGTTATTAAAGTCATCCGAAGGGTAAATAAAGTCGCCGAGTTTGTTAAACATTTGGGCAACTACTTCATCATCGCCTAACGAATTAACAACAATTTCTCGGTTACACAGTAATTGCACATCCTTGCCTGAGTTGATGAGACTATCCATAAGCGTCACATAATCACCAATGTAATAAGTTGATTTCGAACCTCGGAGGAATTGTTCGTAGGCCAAGAAATTACGCAAGATACGCTCTGTATTATCTTCAACTCTTAAGGTTGGAATCTTCAGTGTCCCATCATCGGTAAAGTCTACTTCGAACAAGCTCGCTTTTCCTTTTTTGCCTTGCACCTCCTCTCCTTTCTTATGCTTCCACTCCTTATATTGCAACTCCTTACCTTTATTTACGAAGTTGATTCCTGCCTCTTCCAGCTCTGTTGCACATCTTATGAATTTCCATGAGCGTTTGCTTCCTTCTTCCTCCTGCTCTCTTCCACAGCATATGAAGGTCCGTAAGCGTTGGGCTATTGGTTCTTTTGCTTCTGCTTTTGCTTTTGCTTTTGCATTTGCTTTTGCTTCTGCTTCTTTAAAATGGCGTTTTCTACCTGAAGGAAGCCAACAACTATGTACGAAGCCTAGTAGATGCTTGATATTTTTGGGTTCGGGAAACTTTTTAGGAAGACATATCTCTGGTCCTGGTAACAGATCTTTTGAATAGAGAGAAAAAACCAATGTAGGAAATTCATCTATTTCAACATTTGACATCTTGATCATGCCATACAACTTTAAAAGCACAAAGAAAGGAAGCTGATTTTCGAGTAGTAACAAATCATAAAATATCTCCATGCGAGTCCCCTTCTTCAGTCTACGAAGATTCTTAACTAGATAATCATTCTTTTGAAATAGCAGAACAATAAAGCATCCATCAAGCACCATCATTTCTACAAATGTGTCAGAGTCAAAGCGATCTAAAGGTTGTTCATAGAATTTGCGAACTCCTTTTTCTATGGTTTTAATGGCTGATACAAACTTTTGCGCTTCAGCCTTGCTCTGTTTAATCATCCTACCGAAGCAATTCCTTTTGATAACTTCCATTGTCTTCAAATGTTCCTTACCATGGTGATAGGGACCAATTGAGATTACATTTGGTTCATAGGCTTTCTCATTTACTTCACGTAGTGGACTGGGCACTTTATAAATACTCCAACTATTTGCATCAAAGGAAATTTCACAAAGTTGAAGGGGATCTTCTTCTAAACTTTTCTTTTTGGGTTTACGAATATAATTATTATGTAGGTCACCTGCGATCACCTGTTAAAAAGGTGAGTGAGACAATTTGTTAATTAGAAAAAAAAAAAAAAAAAAAAAAAAAAAAAAACTACCACCACATGAAACGACGTTTAAAAACCAAAAACTCAACTATCTAGCCGAGTTTATGGATAAAAACATCCTTATTTAACTGTGTTTATAAAAAAAAAAATCTTCATTTAACTGCATTTATTAAAAAAAACCCCAAAAAACGGCGTTTTTGAAACGCAATCGCTACTAATTTAAAAATTTTCAATATCAAAATCACATTTCATATCATGCCTAAATTGTTGGGATTAAAAACACCTCTATTTTTCCATAATCGGCATTTAACAATAGGTCACTAAATGACAAAAAAAAAAAAAAGGGCCACAGAAAACCTATTTTTTTTGTATTATCTTTGCAAGTGGGTTGGGCTTTATCTTGTTACTCAGTATACATATCCTATTACCCGAAGAAGAAAAGTTGTGATTAGCGTTTTTTTTTTTTTTTTTTTTTGAAAAAAATGAAAACTTGTGATTAGTTGAATATATGTATTCAGAAATTCGCCCTTCTACACCCTTCTTTATTAATTTCTTTTCTAAATTTATATCCTCTTCGTCTATTGTTCTTCAAGTCTTTTGAAAATAATTGTATAATTAACTTTGATAATATTAAAAACAGTGATGATAATAAAATTAAATGTTAAAGTAATAAGAGTATATGATTAAATTAAATGATGAGTCAATATTTATTTGACAAAAGTATAGTGAGGTATAGTAAAAAAAGAATTGATTATTAAGAACGTATTAATATGATATATTATGTAATTTATAATATATGTGATATTTATAAAATTAATAAAAATAGTTTTATATCAAAATAATATTTTTTTAAAAAATAATTCACAATAGTAGTACATATTTACAAATATTTCCAATGAACAACATAATAAATAACTTAAAAACCTTTAAACCAAAAAACTTGAAAAATTCTAACAAAGAGAAAATAAAAGAAACAGGAAGGTTAACAAGAATAAATAATTTTAAAACTTTAAAATAAAATTTTGAAAAAAAAAAAAGAAAATGGGGACTTTTCTTGCTTCATGCCAAGCAAGAAAAATGAACAAAAAAGCTATAATGGAGAGGAAAGTGAGATTGGGAATGATTTTCACTAAACCCATGAGACACCAAACTGGGATTCTATACGATTGGAAGCTACAGTCAAACAGAATTGCAGCTCCCCGCATCACCAAACGAGATCGAAGAAACTCAATTTACGCGATGCGGGAGGAAAACGAAATATTACTTGTCCTTTTCAATTACCTGGTCTGAAGCTTGATGAAGCAAATCCGAAGAAAAACGCTCTAATGATGACGGTTTTCCACTGTTATCTAAGCTGTCCATTATAATGCGAACATCGTCATAACTATCCATTACCTGCACAAAAGTATGGGATACAACTCCGTTATTATGGGAATAACACCTCTTGGAAATTAGCCAAAATGAATACGACATTGACTTATATTTTTACTAAGCAAAGAATGAATCGAATTTTGTTTGGATTTACCGCCCAAAGTTGAAGCAGAATCGTGCTCGTGTTTGTGAAATTGGAGTTCGTTTAAAATGGATGTGGTATAAATAGAGGTGGGAATAGGATCAAATAAATTTTAAATTATTTCGAATTTAAATGATTTTAAATTTAAATAATTTTAGATTTCAATAATTTCAGATTCATATTTTTTTACTATTATTAGGTATAGATGATTTCAAAAGCAAAAGGGGGCCGTGGCCCATCCAAATAATTTGAAAACGCCGAGTACATATTTATTAAATAATTTTGGATTCCCTCTCCCCAACAAACCCAAACATAACCGTATTTAGTTTTTTATCCCATGACTTATTTTTTGCATGTGAAACTTGGAGATGATTAAAATCATATGATTATCTTTCAATGCAAACAACTTAATAACCCCAAGGTAATAAAAAATTAAATGGAAAAGCACTTCTCAGAGCACTTCAGAAAAGATCAAGGCCCATCTCTTGTATTCTCATATGCATTTTTGAATGTGCTCACCCTTAGTCAAGTCCTTCAATTAGAAGTCCCTTATTCAGAAAAGGAAGTGCTATATGCAATTATGTCATGCGATGGTAATAAAGCTCCAGGTCTAGATGACTTTAACATGAATTTTATGAAAAGAAAGTGGAATCTCTTGAAGTTGGAAATCATGGAGTTTTTTCAAGAGTTCTTCAACACGGGAAAGCTCACGAAGGGATCAAAAGCTCTTTTATAACTTTGGTGGCAAAGAAACACTGTACGGAATATCTAAACGACTTTCAGCCAATATCATTAATAGGGAGCATTTACAAAATTCTGACAAAGACCTTAGTAAATATATTGAAACAAGTAGTGGGTTCTCTCATTAGCCCAACTCAATCTGCCTTTGCGGAGGGCCACCAAATTATAGACGGTATCCTTATTGCAAATGAGGTCATTGACAGCTTCAAAAAAAAAAAAAAGAACAGAAGTTTGATGCTCAAGTTAGATTTTAAGAAAGCTTTTGATAAGGCTAGCTGGAATTTTCTCTTGCACATTATGAGTCTCATGGGCTTCAGAAATAAATGGATTGGATGGGTTAGAGGTTGTATTTCTTCAGCTTCAATATCAGTATTAATAAACGGATCCTCTACAAATCCTATCAAGATGTAGAAAGGTCTTAGACAAGGCGATCCCCCATCTACGTTCTTGTTTATAATGGTTACGGAAGCGTTGAGTCTTCTACTTAATAGTGCCATTGACTTGGAACTCATCATAGGAATAAGAGTCAGGAACGGTGGTCTATAGATATCTCATCTTCAATTTGTAGATGACAATATTATTTTTTGTTAGCCAAATTTTGAGCATCTTCTTACAATCAAAAGGATCCTCCAGTGTTTTCAGTTAGCAACGAACCTAAAAGTTAACTTCTCAAAAAGTACGCTAATTTGAGTTAACATAAACTCATAGACTCCATCGGAATAAATTGGTAAAATTTATTGCAAAATAGATATCTAAGAATGTGGTATAGATACCTAATCCAAACCTCTTCTGCTTATCTTTTTCAATAAATTAAGATACTCTTTTCACATTTTATAAAGAGAAATTTCACTCTCGCCAAAAACAAAAACAAAAAGCAATTCCACTTTTTCAATCATGTTGAGATAATGGTGGCAGACAAAGAAATCTCAACCTTTCAATTATGTTGAAATAATGGTGGGAGGCATTCTGTTTCTATCCAAGTAAGAGTGTAATTGGCTTAGTTATTGCAATTCACTTTTCGTATAGTCCCGAATGTCAAATCCAAATCCCATGTTCTATGCCCTTTTTTTTTTCCTTTTTCAATAAAGTAAGGTAGTCTTTTCACCTTTTAGAAAGAGAAACTGCACTTTTATAATTAATTCTAAGATATAATATTTAATAAATTTAAAATAAATTTTTATTTTTAAAATTTTTATTTAAAATTGTAACTTCTTTCATAAAAAAAATTCATTTATTGACCTAATTATTAAAATTCTATCTATAATCTATTCATATGCATTGAACGTTAGTTGGCTTATTTATTGAAATTCACTTTAACTTTTGTTAGCATAACAGCCAATAAAATAAGATAGAAGACAAAACAGTTTGTCTCTTCTACTAACTTTTTGGGATAAGAATATTATTGGTTGTCTAACATGTGTTGTGCATTTTATGACAATATATTTTCTAACTTATCTGATTTACTTTTCCACATTAAAATATGGCAATGACTTGGTTAGGTTAGACCGGCCAAAGTCAATCAAATTAGGTACCTAATTGCTTTCATTGAGCTGTTAACCTGAAACCTCATGAAAATGACAAAACTTAACCTATTCCCAATCGATTCCCCACTAATTACTTCAAAATAAAGTACTGTTTGATAAAACTGACAAAATTTTATATTAAAAAATGTAAATATAGAATTTTTATTTTTGAAAAATATAAGTGTTAATTTATGATTATTTGGTCTCTATTAATTAAAATTAAATGTTGAGTTTATTTTTTTTATTGAATTTTCGGTAAAAAAGAGGTTAAATTTTAATTAAAATTTTATAATGAAAATATTTTATTAAGTGATTTGTAAAAATAAATTATCAAACATATTGAAAATATCAAATTAAAATTCTTAATAATTTAGCGAACACAAACTATTTTTTTTAGTTATATGTACTATATCATTTGTTTTTAACAAACAATCAATTAATATTATTTTCAACTCAATTGAATTTAGTTTTAATAGAATTAATATTTAATTATTAAGCTTGAATTTGACGATGAAACATATATATATATATATATATATTCTAGAGTAAAGTCACTTTTTGATCCCAAAATTATTGTTTAATTTGAGTTTTATACTATTTTATATTGAGCTCAATTACACCTCTAATGCTTCCCGTAACAGCTAATCATAGCCGGCAGCTGCTGAATTTACTTTCAAATTTTTGGTAGCTAGAAAAATTATCTTCTTCGTTATATTTAAACTTAAATTCTAAAAAAGTGATTTATATAAAGGTCATTTATAAGCATGATTTTTATGTCAACGGAATTTGATTGAATTAATAATGATAGAATACTTGGTTTATCAGATGTAGGTTTGATTCTATTAGCAGTTCTTTTTGATCTAAATTTTTATGTACTAAACAACTAATTAAATATAGGTACTTATATACTAAAATGTATGCATGTACATAAATTACACTTTTAAACCCAAAATTCCAAACCATGGACTAAAGCCCAAATTATTATATGGATTAAAAATCATGAAGTTCACCAAAAATCTCAATTTACCCAATACCTAAAGACCAAATTCAATTTTTAATCCCAAATAAAATTTGTAGATAAGGCCCAAAAGTTGAGGCAAATTTGATTGAAGCAACTGGAGAGTTCTATTTTCTTCATATTTCCATCCCAAACTCTGTTCCGAGTCTGGGAAGAAAAACAGGCACCTTCCACCCTCTTCAAATTGAAAACCCAGAAAGCTTTAACAGGAAAAAAAAAGGAAGAAGGTTTTGTCATAACTGTCCTTACCAACCAGATGTATCAATGTTCCTGCAATTAAATTATAATGCCCAACTTAGAAGGAACTGCTAACAATCTAACCCAGGATGGTTGCACTAAATCAGTCAGCCGCGTGAAAATGTGGCCAATAAATAGTTTAGCCCAGGTTTTGCAAGTTGTGATCTACGAACTAGCAGATGGTCGGAAGCTTTTGCACGCAGCCACTGAATAGCTAAAGAATTCCCTGATATATGTACGCTCTAATTCATGCAAATAAAACAATAGAACAGTGAAAATAATTTGGTGTTTCTTGTCTTTATTGTTTAGGTACAGGTTCTCTGCTGTATGCTGTGGTCTAAATGAAAATTGTATCTTTTCGATTGTGCATACTTGCCTGATGGGTTGAGAGTTGAGAGTGAATGTTGTTTCTGTTGCATTCTGCAGTTTTCTTGCTCTGATTTTAAATCCAAAGTCAAGAATTGGGAACCAAAGGAAAACCGCTGCGACTACTAATAGTTTGGAATCATTTGTTGAGCATAATGGTTCTAGACTCGAGTACACTAGTTGAAAGTAATAGATGGGTTGGCTCTAGATTTTATGTTTGACATTTGACAACAGTATAGTGTTGAGCAAAATGGTTCTTTTCTTGACAATTTTGCAATTTCTATGAACTATAGTAGACTATGAAACTTTATCAAATGAATGTGCTTACAATCCTTTTGGATGCTGGCCGGGCACTATATTTTGGATTTTCTGATTAAAATTTCTCAATTTTATGATGAGAAACAGGAAAGTTGAAAGGAGAAAATAATAAGATTGACAACACATTGAGATTTAAGTATTTGGGATTGTTGCCAATGAAAGGTTGATTTATCGGCAAAGAAAAGATTTTGAAATTTTGAGATCTCAAGTTTAAATCTTATTATATGTGAGTTTATTTTAATTTGATGTTGAATTATCCAGTTTAGTTGGTTTGTAATTTTTTGATTAATTAATTTCTTATATGTACTTGAAAGTGATTGTAATTTTCAGCCCGATCCATGGCTTAATTTGGTTCCTAGTAAATCTCAAGGGTACAAGTTTTAGCAAATCTTGACCAAAATAATTGAACAGTTGAACTATAGAGTTTGAAGAAAGATGAGTTTAAATAAAGAGGAATGTCCTTGTGGAGGTGTAGGTAGATACTGCGGCTGATCCTTCTTTTCTTCAGTTATGGATTCTTTTTAACAATCAAAAGCATGTTTGATAGATAAAATGTCTATTTGGATGGAGTGCAAAATTGAAAATAACGGTAGAAATAAAATTAGATGTTGTAACAGTAAAATTAAAATTAGTTGTAGAATATATGATTTGATGTAAAAATAGCAATACTGATGAGATAAATATAGTGAAAAAAAAAATTTCTATGAAATAAAAATTGCATGTTTATTTATTTAATTATTTATGTAGTTATTTATTTTAATTAAATATTTAATTATAAAAAGATTTTATTTATTTATTAGTTTATTATAAAAAAATTTATTTATTTTAATAAAAAAACTAAAATGAAAAAAAAATAGAGAAAGAAAAAGTTTTGCTGCGATGAGAAAATTAATTTCAACTAGACCTAAGAGAACCAATGAAAAATTGAAAGAATAGTGTGACTGAAATAAATCAACTGCATTTTATCACAACATTATAACTAATGGTAGCTTTTGGATGTCAACTGCACCTCACTGGAGGTGTAGGTGCATCCAAATATAGCCAAACTAAATTAGTGGAGAAAATAAAACGAATAAAAAACCAATTAAACATGTGTTAACTTGATCTACTATTTTTATTAATCACCGGTAGAGAAGCAAACCCGACACCATAAGCTTTTATTATGTACAGCACATAATGAACTTAAAAGAATTAATGAAAATTTTTAATTAAATAAAAATTAGGAAAAGAGAGTGCTTTTTAAAAAAAATTGTAAGAAGAGAATTCAAATGGAGTAGTCTCATTTAATATATGTTATTGAACCAATATATAATTTGAATATTTTCTTGTCGGTAATAATTAAGTAAAAATTATTTAACTATTCTTTATATATATATATATATATATATTATTGAAATAGAACTTCCATTCATTTATTATCGTTGAAAATGTATTGAGATATTATATTAGGATTTTAAATCTAAATTTATTATTTATCACTTATGATTATATTAGTTAATTAAGTTAAAGTTGAGATAATTACTATATTATATATATATATTTTTTATATACATATATATATATATGTACATCTATATAGCATTAGTAGATGAAAATAGACTTGAAAATAAAATATCATCTAACTCTTTAATTTCTCAATCAATAAAGAATTTCTTTTTGCAAAAGAAAAAAAAAAGAAACGAACTTGAAAATAAAACTAAACTTCAATATTAATCACTCTTTTATTAATTAAGATGGGATAAAACGTAAACAAACGAATCTATAACAAATCCGTTCATATATATAATGCTACTTTAACCTACTTTATGATATAATAAACATAGTTTCGTAAAAGAAAAAGAGCTTCAATTTTTTGGTCTCTGATTCATCAAAATCCTAAGGTTAAGAATCGCCGCTGCCAGTTTGTTTGGCTATATCTCTTCCCTGTTTCAAACTCCATAAGCAAAAGAATAAAAGAATGCAGAAGATTGCCCCCACGACAAGTCCCGCTATTACATATGAATTCATTATGTCTGTGTTCACAATTTAAGATATAGTGTAGGAAACTTTTGTTAAGATTAAACAAAATAATTTACATTGAATTCAGAACATATAAACACTAAAGGGGACAAAACTTTTACCTTCAAGTTGAAAGCCCAGCTACTTCAAAAGTACTTGAGAATTGTCGTATAATCTGGAGCCAAGTTGAGAATGCTAAGCCCTAGTGCCAACCTCCCTATTTAGAGTAGTTTATGGAACCTGCTAGGGTTATTTTAAAGAAAAAGAAAACAAAAAGGCTTGGTCAAGAAATTGGTAAACGTTTATTATAGGAGGGTATCATAAATTTAGGGAATATTTGACATTTATTACATGGATTCGGCCATTCTCTTAAGTATATGATATTTACATATCAGAGAAAATTCACCTTTAATGATTGTAATGAATGATTATATTCCACATTTATTATTTTTTTCTCATTTGGTCATCAAAAAAAAAAATAAAAAACCTTCCGCATCATTAATTATTAAACCAAGTACTTGAAAGGAAAATATAGACGGTATTAATTTTAACAGGAATTTAAAAAAAAATTGATTTTAATGTATTTAATATTAAAATATTAAAATTTTTGAACGAATTAACATTTGAAATTACTTTATGCTTTGTTTCATGATATACAGTGGCAGTCAATTAACCCAAATGCTAATAAAATTTTTGAATGACTTAAATTAGATTATTCTTTTTCATTAGACTAATTTCCATTGAAAAATAATAAAGAAAATATGAGAATTTATAATATCATGAACTAAGGAACATAAACATTTCCCTCTAAACGAACACAATTAACCAAGTCTTTCCTCCATAAAAAAAGGTAACAAATAATAATGAATTTTTATTTGATGCAATGTCAACAATATTAATTTATAAATTTTACATATTGTTAATGAATCATATAATATTATTTCATTAATGATTATACATAACTTTTTTATAAACCTTTAATATAAATATATAAAAATTTAATTTTTTTCTAAATTTACCAACAATATCATCTAATTCATTGATTGTGTACAAAATTTATAAGCTAGATACTCAATTTAAAGTTAAATATATAATCTATTTGAACCAAATCTACTATTTATTATAAATTAATGTTTTATTTTTTATTAAGATATTTTTTTTATAGAAACTCAAGCTCGACAGATGTTAATGGGGCATGGCACCATGATGCTAAAGAATAATCATACATGGAAAATGCTGATTTTTAGAAATAAAAAAATAAAAATTAAGAAATTTATTTAAAGAGAAAATACAACAAAAATAATTATTTTTTTAAAATGAAAAAAAAAATGGATTTACTTCCAGACAAGTTTTGCCTTTGATGTTGGGCTTTTAAAGCAAGGGATTGATTGTTTCAATTGCGCCCAAGCTGCTAACAGTGGCTCCTTTGCGTTCCTCCACCGTTTATTTATACTAGTTTATTATGTGCCCTTATTTAAAGATTCTTCATTGACAAGAAATAGGTAAAGCCTTACTATAAATATAAAAGAAAAAACAATCGCATAGAAGTTAGAATTGGATCCCTAATGGGTTTGGCCTCATTATTCAAAAAATTATATTTATTTTTTAAATTCATAATAACTCACGATTATTTTATCTATCACACCATATTTGTGAAGGAAATTGTATATGATTTAACAATCTTAAATACCAAAAAATCACAAGATAAATTAAACACAAGTACTTATTTTGTTATTACGGCATGTATCAAAATACGAGAAACATTACACTTGATAAATAACTAGTCACAAACATTAATTATAGGAAATAGCATAAGCTTTTAGTTTATAGTAATGCTACTTAATAGACTTGGCTTCACTTCCAGCTAGCCTGCCTCCAATAGATAATGCAAAAGATGCACTGCACTTACTGCGGATGGAAATAAGATAAAACTGAAAATATAGTTTGTGCCGTGGTAAGTAGGAGCAGGAAAACAGCAGCGACAACTGAAATGATCGACCAGGGAGAGTCAAAATAACCTTTCATCAATTTTGCCTTCCATTTCTTCAACTTTGCCTTCCTTTTGGTACTCCTTTTCTGGCAGTGCTTGTCCACCTGCTCAAATATTTTGGCATAATAGAAGCTATTAAAGTCACCGGATGCGTAAGTAAAGTCGCCGAGTTTGTTAAACATTTGGGCAACTACTTCATTATCGCCTAACAAATTAACAACAATTCCACGCCTATGGAGTAATTGCACATCCTTGCCTGAGTTGATAAGATTACCCATAAGCTTCACATAATCACCAATGTAAGTTGATTTTGAACTTGGGAGGAATTGTTCGTAGGCCAAGAAATTAAGCAAGATACGCTCTGTGTTATCTTCAACTCTTAAGATTGGAATCTTCAGTGTCCCATCATCGGTGAAGTCTACTTTGAACAAGCTCACCTCCACCCCTTTCTTATGTTTCCAAACCTTCTTTTCGAAGTTGATTCCTGCCTCTTCCAGCTCTGTTGCACATCTTTTGGACTTCCATGAGCTGCTTCCTTCTTCCTTCTGCTCTCTTCCACAGCACATAAAGTTCTGTAAGCGCTGGGCTATCGGTTCTTTTGCTTTTACTTCTGGTCCTACTTCTGCTTCTGAAGGAATCCAACAACTATGTACGAAGCCTAGTAGATGCTTGATACTTTCGGGTTTCGGAAACCTTTCAGGAAGACATATATCTGGTCCTGGTAACAGTCCTTTTGAATAGAGAGAAAAAACCCATGTAGGAAATTCAACATTTGACATCTTGATCATGTCATACAGCTTTAAAAGCACAAAGAAAGGAAGCTGATTTTCGAGTAGTAACAAATCATAAAAATATCTCCCTGAGAGTCCCCTTCTTCAGTTTACCAAGAATATTAACTAGATAATTATTCTTTTGAAATAGCAGAACAATAAAGCATCCATCAAGCACCATCATTTCTACAAATGTGTCAGAGTCAATGCATTCAAAAGGTTGTTCATAGATTTTGCGAACTTCATTTTCCATGTCTTTCATGGCTGATACAAACTTTTTGGCTTCATCCTCGCGCTGCTTAATCATCCTACTGAAGCAATGCCTTTTGATAACTTCCATTGACTTCAAGCCTTCCTTATCATGGTGATAGGGACCAATTGAAATTACATTTGGTTCATAGGCTTTTTCATTTATTTCACGTAGTGGATAAGGCACTTTATAAATACTCCACTTGCGTTCATCGAAGGAAACTTCACAAATTTGGAGGGGATCTTCTGCTAAACTTTTCTTTTTAGATTGACTAGTACAATTGTTACCTAAGTCACCTGAGATCACCTGTTAAAACGGTGAGTGAGATAATATGTTAATTAGAAAAAAAAGTAAATTAAATTTGCATTGTGCCTGCTGCCTGCATTTTTATTGAAATACGGAAACATTCCTTGTGATTTTTAAAAGTAAATCAAATTTGAAGTTGCATAGGTGATGGGCTTATAAGGGTAGTGGAATTTTCTTATGTTTTCGTTTTAATTGTTTTTCTGATGTTTAAGTATTTTTTATTTGAAATCGCAAATCCCAAATCTGGTGCTACTCTGGAAATCTGTTAATAAAGATAGGGGAATGTGAATTGTTTTCTGATGTATGCTGTAAGTTGATGAAGGTGCACTGCTTGGAGGCAGCAGCTGCAGTTGCTGCCTCCAGGTATTGGCAGCAGCTGCTGCAGTGCTTGCTACCTCCAGGTTTTGAACTGAAAATAAATAAATAAATAAGGTTGTATTTGAGGTTAGTGATGCTCTTGGCCAGCTACCAAATTGAGTACAAGCTTGAGATTATAGTGGGAGAGAGTAAGATGGTACATGATTGTGGTGTTAGTTGGGCAATTGGGTATTTTTTGGAGCCTTTGATCTTGCTTCATTGTTTGCTAGGAAAGCCCTATTTATAATCCTCATTTTGTTTTTTCTTGGAATTTCAAAAATTTACCTTTTTTGGGGTTCTTTGTTTTTCAGTTATTTTTATTGAATAAGTCCTTTCTCAAGCTTACATTGGTTTCCATTGATTTTTAAGTTATTTATTATCTTACAATGAATAACATAATAAATAACTTAAAAATCTTCAAACCAAAAAACTTGAAAAGTTCTAACAAATTAAAAATAAAAGAAATGGGAAGGTTAACAAGATTAAATAATTTTAAAACTTAAATAAAATTAAAAATTTAATATGAAGAAAAAAAAAAAAAAGAGAAAGCGGGGACTTTTCTTGTTTCATGCCAAGCAAGAAAAATGAACAAAAATGCTGTAATGGAAAGGAAAGTGCGATTGGGAAAAGGGGAATGATCTTCACTAAACTCATGAGGCTCCAAACTGGGATTCTATACGATTGGAAGCTACAGTCAAACAGCATTGGAGCTCCCCGCATCACCAAACGAGATCGAAGAAACTCAATTTGCGCGATGCGGGAGAAAAACGAAATGCTACTTGTCCTTTTCAATTACCTGGTCTGAAGCTTGATGAAGCAAATCCGAAGAAAAATGCTCTGCTGATGGCGGCTTTTCTCTGTCTATTATAATGCGAATGTCGTCATCACTAGCCATTACCTGCACAAAAGTATGGGATACAACTCCATTATTATAGGAATAAAACCTCTTGGAAATCAGCCACAATGAATACGAGATTGACTCTATTTGTTTACTAAGCAAAGAATGAAACGAATTTTGTTTGGATTTACCACCCAAAGCTGAAGCAGAATTGTGCTCGTGCTCGTGCTCGTGCTCGTGCTTGTGCTTGTGAAATTTGGAGTTGGTTTAAAATCGATGTGGTATAAATAAAGGTGACAATCGAATCAAATAAAATTTAAATTATTTTGAATTATTAATTTTTTTTGAATTATATTAAATTTAAATAACTTTAAGTTTTAATCATTTCAAATTTAAATCTTTTACTTTAATTAGGGATAGATGATATCAAGAGCAAGAGGGGGCCATAGCCCAACCAAAAAATTTGAAAACGCCAAGTATTTATTTGTTAAATAACTTTAAATTCCCTCTCCCCAATAAACCCAAGTACAGCTGTACTATTTAGTTTCTTTCTCTCAGAATAACTTATTTTTTGCATGTGAAACTTGGAGATGATTAAAATCATATGATTATATTATTAGATTATGATTTGTGTGATACACGAAATAATTTTATTTATTTTTTGTATGTAAAAATAAATTAATATTTTTTTAAATTATATTCAAATTTTTAAAGTTTATAACATATAATAGATTTTATACACTAATTTATCATAAAAATAATTTTTTTAAAAAAAAGAAGAAAAATTATATGTTTTCATTTTGTACCATTTTTATTTGCAGTAATATTTATACAACTAAAATTTATGTCAAATAAAAATAAATTACATATTTTTCTTAAAAGAATAAAAACGTATATATTATCAAATGATAAATTAAATAATAAAAAAAATAGACATACTATCACTTTTGTAATCTTATTCAAATTACTTTACAAAATATGAAAAATGTTAGAAAATGTGTAAAAAAAGGAAAATTAAATTAAAAATTATTAATTTTTATAAAAACAAACATCCAATAGGAATAGAATATACTTTGCAAAAAGAAAGATGCAAACTAAAAAATAAATTATAATAGCAATACAATTTGAAAAAATTGCAAATTGAAAAATAAAAAAAAATGATATAATACATTATATTTATAGTTTTTAATTTGTAGAAAAACTGTTGGATGACATTTAGGATTGAATAGATAATTTTTAAATTGATATTTTAAAAAATTAAAAGGATTTAATAAGTGATAAAAGTTAAATTAAATTTTTTACCCATTTTTAAATATAAAATTGATAGTTAGAGTTGAGATAGATATAGGTTCTATTATTTAAAGATTTAATATGAAAAGACTATTTTAATTTTTAATATTTACATAAATTTTTTAAAAGATAATTTTTGTTTGATGCAAATTAAGATAAAATAATATAATGAGTTTTAGAAAGATTAGGATAAATTTAATCTTTATAATTTTAAAATGTGTTGAAAGATTTTCATAATTAAATAATTTATAAAATAAGATTATATGATCAAAATTTAAAATTATTGAGATAAAATCCATATTTCAAATTTTTAATTTTTAAAAAATCTCTAGATTAATTTATTTTATAATTATAATTTGAATAATTTGAATATTTAAATTAATTTAAAATTATCCAATTTGTAATTTAAAATATATATTTTTAAAAAAATCATATATATCATGTAAAAAAATTGTTCACATAAACATTTATGTGATAAATTTTATCATGTGTCAATATATATTATAATACAATAATATTTGATTTGCTTTTTGAACTTCACTCGCTAATCATCAATCATAATTTTTGTAATTAGTAAATTTGTTATAAATGAAAATCACGTGCATGTATATTTCAATAAAAATTAATAAAGTTGTTTATTCTCCCAAAAGTATCAAATTCAAAGTTTCTATGCTTATTTTTATTCTTATATGCACACTTATGTTTCTCACAAGATTCATCTTCATTTTTTATGATTACTTTTGCAAACAAAATCTAAAAGATCCAAATTGTTACTTATCATTTTGAATTTTATATTGATTTAATTTTGAGATATATTTTAAATTTGAATTAAGTATGAACATTTAAATTATTGATATTTTTATCAAGTAACTTTCAACAAATTTCAAATTATAATGAATTGAACGAAATTTTAAAATTTTATCACTTTTATCATATCTATTTATAAAATTATACTATTATCTTCAATTTCTTGATTTAATGACAAAAAAACATTAAAAAAAACATCAAAATTAAAGTTCGATCTCAATTTTCTCCGGTTCACCTTTGATACAGGACTCTTACCTCTTTTAAAAACAATATATATATATATATATATATATATATATATATATATATATATATACTATTAGAATGGGACGGATACCTACGAAACTGTTTAGTGACATATTGAATGACATCAGTTCATTAAATTCAAATAATTGTACCATTTATGATAATGACACATCGTAACTACAATAGTACTAACCTTTTTAATTTGTGTTATCTCTTATAATATCATCAATTAATTATAATTTTAAATTATATAAAATTTATCAAAATTTTATATAATTTTTAATTATAATAAAATATTATAAGTGAAATGCTTGAGGAAAATCTAAAAATAGTATCCACATTTATCTTAACACAAAGTTCCATCCTCATCCATACCGGTAGAACTATGTACAATTCACTCCAATTATATATATAAATATATATATAAATATTATATATATATATATTAGTTATAACAAGCAATTGGACTCGCACACGTTGCAGCAATACGTGAGTTTTTCTTTTATTCAATGAATATTTATGTATTATACTGCTTTTTTTATTGTTTTTTAGTAAAAAAATTTATTATATAGTAAAAGAAAATGATAGGTAGTAAAATCGATCAAGAATATATAACAACAACAACGTACTAAACTTTATATTATGTAACTCTCAGGTTGGCTATATAAAAGATCAAAAAAGAATCATGTTAGGTCATGGGTTCGAATTTTCTTAACCACTCATTTTTATTCACAATAACCTTTTCATCTAGTTCTTTAGTGTTCATATCATTTTTAATTATTTACATCCACATCTTTCATGGTCTATCTATAGAAATGTTGCTTTCTCTTAATTCTAAAAGCTCACCTCTCTTAATTAATGCACCGCTAAATCTATATTTCATATATCCAAACTATCAAGGGCCTTCTCTCATTTTTTCCTCAATTCAAATTACTCTTAATTTTTTTCTAATCTCTTCATTTCTGATTTTGTGTTTTCTAATCTTACCAAACATCTATTTAAGCATATTCATCTCAATTATGCTTATTTTCTTTTTATGTTGTTTTTTAATAGCCCAATACTCAATTCCATATAACAACGTAGACCTTATATTCATTTTATATACCTTTGCCTTTAACTTTAAAGGCATGTTGCAATCACACAATATACCCAACACATTTCATCACCTCACTCATCCTGCTTGAATTCTATGATTACATCCTTTTCAATCTCAATATCGCTTTAAATAATTGATTTCAAATATTGAAAATAGCTACTCTTTGCTACTACTTCACCATCTAACTAATTACATTACCACTTACTTATCTTTAATTGCTAAACTTACATTTCATATATTTAGTTTTAGATCTATTCAATCTAAAGCCTCAAGACACCAATATATGCCTCCATACTAGGGTTGGCAACGGGGCGGGTTTTTGCTCGTCCCAAACCCGACCCAACTATATAACCACAAAACTTGTACCCGTAATCGTACCCAACCAAAATTTTTTTTTATTTTTTTATACCCAAACCTGATATTGTATAAATCGTACCCAACCCGACCTGAAATTAAAAAAATATTATTCTTTAAATATAAAATATTATTTTTTAAAATATAAATATATAAATTAAAAATTAAAAAATAATTTTTTATATAATATCGTGTCGAATCATGTCAGGTTTGTCTAAAACTCGTACCCGACTCGACCTCATTTTTTTTTTAATAATACCCAACCCGACTCGACCCGAAACTCGATTTTTAAAAAAAAAATTGATCTTATGAGGTCAGGTTGGAACCTGCTGATTTCAGATTTGGCTGCCAACCCTACTCCATACTTCTAACTTTACATTAAGATCATCACTAGTTTCAATAACTAAAATTATATCATCCATAAATAACATATACCATGGCACTTCGTATTAGATATGCCTAGTGAGTTCGTACATAACTAAGGCCAAAAAAAATGAACTTAGTGTTGAGCTTTGATGCAATCTTAAGGTAATAGGAAAGCTATCAGTTACTCTCCTAACCGTCCTCACATTCGTTACTACACTTTCATACAATATACTTTAAAAGAACTTTTTTTTTTCATTAAAGTCCACCAAAACACCTTTTTTGGGAACTCTATCATATACTTATTCTAAGTCCATAAATGTCATATGTAGTTCTCTCTTTTTTGGCTAAAAAACCTCTAATAGAAGCCTCAATAAACGACTTGCCTCTGTTGTGGAGCGTCTTAACATAACCTAAATTGATTTTTGAAAATAATAACCTTATGTCTCAACCTACATGCAATTAATCTCTCCCACGATTTCATAGTATGACTTATAAGCTTTATTCCTCGATAGTTTAAACAATTTTGTATATCATAGTTATTCTTATTTATAATACTCTTCCCTCATTCTTCTAGCATCTTTTGAGTACGTCAAATTTTGTTGGAAATATCTATCAATCATCTTACCCTTATTTCACTCAAGCATTTTCAAACTTTAATCGACATTTCGTATGATCTTACAATTTTCTTTTGTTTTCATCATTCTCAAAACTTATTTAATCTTATACCTTTTAATATTCTATTTAAACACGTAATTAATATCTTGAAAATGTATGCTAAGCTCACCTAAGTCATGGTCAAAATTGCCATTAAAGAGATTATCAAAATAATCTCTCCATCTCTTATTAATTTTCTTATTAGTCACTAAAACTCTTTCTTTTTCCCCTTTAATGCATCTTATGT